GACACGACTGAGAGACTTAGCACAGCACATCTTACCACAGGCTTAGATGGGGTCATGGGGGTGGAGCCCCATCAGGAGACTGGGGCCCCTAAAAACGGAGGAGATCAGCGATGTCTCTCTGCATGCACACACCAAGGAAAGCCAGGCCCAGGAACAGGAGCCTCACCAAGAACCTGGCGAGCACGCTAGCACCCTGACCTTGGACTTACAGGCTCCAGACGGTGAGAAATGTATGTCTGTGGTTTAAGCCGCACACCCTGCGGTATTCTGTAAGGGCAGCCTGAACTGACTAGTAGAACTTATTTCTACTTCTCTCCATAGAGTGTTGAGAACTTCTAATACAGTGCTATTGACAGTGGCTCCCCTGGTGTCTCAGGGGTAAAGAATCCACCCGCCGATGCAGGAGACTCGAGTCCCATCCCTGGGTCAGGAAGATCCCCCGGAGGAGGAAACGGCACCCATTCCAGTATGCTTGCCTGAGAAATCCCAAGGACACAGGAGCCTGGCGGGCTGCAGTCCATGGGGTCACAAAGGGCCGGACACGGCTGAGCGCGCTGAGCTTTGGGTAGCAGTTTACTCATCTTGCTCCTAGCTTTGCAGAGCAGCAGTTAAAACCGGACATGAAACAAAGGACAGGTTCAAAATAGGGAAAGGCGTACATCAAGACAATATACTGTCACCCTGCTTATTTAACTTACATGCAGAGTGCACCATGAAAAATGCTGGCTTGGATGACTCACAGGCTGGAATCAAGATTGCTGGGAGAAACATCAACCACTTCAGATACGCAGATGACACACACCACCCTTATGGCAGAAAGTGAAGAGGAACTAAAGAGCCTCTTGATGACGGTGAAAGAGGAGAGTGAAAAGGTTCCTTAAAACACTAAAAAGAGAAACACCATATGATTCAGCAATTCCACTCCTGGGTATGTATCTGGAAAAAATGAAAACACCAATTTGAAAAGATACATGCACCCCAGTGTTCACAGCAGCACTATTTACAACAGTCAAGATACGGAAGCAACCCAAGGGCTCATGGATGGATGGAGATGTGATACACACACAGACACACACACACACAGGAGTATTACTCAGCCGTAAAAAAGAACAGAATTCTGCCATTTGCAACAATGCAGATGGACCTAGAGGATATCATGCTTAGTGAAATAAGTCAGAGAATGACAAATGCTGTGTATCATTTATACGTGAAATCTAGAAAACACAAATGAATGCATATACAGGGGAGAAAAAGACTCACCCAGGAAATAAGCCAGCAGTTCACCAAAGGGGAGCGGGGAAAGGGGAGGGGCGCGTGAGAGGTAGGAGAAGAGGAGATACAAACTGCCACGTGTCAACTAGGTAAGAAATAAGGGCATATTGTATAGCACAGGGAATTATAGGCATTATCTTTTAATAAATTTTAATGGAGTATAATCTGTAAAAATACTGAATCACTGTACTGTACACTGGAAATTAATATTGTAAATCAACTATACTTCAATAAAATTAAATTTTAAAAATGATACTGAGTCCTCTAATACACAAATTATATAGTTCTATTTATTTGTCTTTAATTTTTCCTGTTTTTTAAAAAATTAAAGTAAAATTCACAATTTTTACCACTTTAAAGTGTACAGTCCAGTGGCTTTCAGTATATTCAGTGTTACACAAGTACACCACTAACTCCAGAACATGTCCATCACCCCCATAAAGAAGCCCATACTTTTTAAGCAATCAGTCTTCACGCTAAATGCCCCAGTCCCTGGCAACCACTCATCTGCTTTCTGTCTCCAGTGATCTGTCTACTGCGTATATTTAGTGTATGTGGATCCATACAATATGTGGCTTTTGGGGCTTGACATAATTATTTTGAGGTTCATCCACGTGAACCTTGATCCTTTCAAGGCTTGTTTTCTTATAATTCTAAAATTAAGGTGCAATTTATATACAGCAAAAAAAAAAAAAATCACTGTTTGAGGTATACACTTGCATGAGTTCTGACAAAAGCATACAATCAGGGAACCTCTGCCACCATCAAGACAGAAAGCAATTCCATCACTGCCCCTTTCTGAAATACCCTCATGTCCTTTGTTGTCATCCCCTTTCCCCTCCCCCCAGACAGCCACTTACCTATTTTTTCTGTCCCTATAGTTTCGACGCGGATTGTTTCTAAGACTAGTTTATTCCCATTCCGACAGCCTGGCTTTTCTGGGGTCTCCAGGTCTTCTGATTGAGAATCTCCCACTCCTCGGTTCACAGCGCCCTGGAGTTCTTTTTTTTTTTTAATTAATTTGCTTATTTTAATTGGAGGCTAATTATGTTCCAATATGGTAGTGGTTTTTGCCATACATTGACATGAATCAGCCACGGGTGTACATGTGTTTCCCATCCTGGAGTTCTTTACCTGGCTTCATGAAGCCACGCCCTCAGCGTGTGCAGTTTAGCATTCTGTAGCGATTCAAGGAAACCTCTATGCAGACTCCTAGAGCCCTCCCTGCATAGCTAGCTCCCTTTGATAAGTCTGCACCCAAATTTCAGTCCCCGCTGTCCGCCCAAACTCTCATCTCTCTCCTCATTTCAGCAATGCTGGCGCACTGTGCCTCAATTCTCCTTCCCTGGACCATGATCCAGAAGGCATCTTTGGCAGAAAGCTGGGACTGGGGCGGGGGCGCCGCGTCTGGAGGCAAAAATCAGTCCATCTCTCTCTCTTTTTTTTTTACTTTTTAAGAAACGACTTATTTATTTTTAGCTTTTGGCTGTGGTGGGTCTTTGCCACTGCACACGGGCTCTCTTTAGTCATGGCGAGCAGGGGCTATTTTTTGCTGCAGTGCACAGGCTTCTCACTGCGGGGGCCTCTCTCGAGGAGATCAGGCTCTGCAGGTCTGGCGCAGCAGTTGTGCACGGGCCGGGCTGCTCCAAGCCACGTGGGATCTTCCCAGAGCAGGGATCCAACCGCTACCCCTAGCACTGCAAGGCAGGTTCTTAACCACGGGGCCATCGGTGCTGGAAGCCTCCGTCTCTTTCTGTTTAATAATATCTTGGTCCTTGCATACATTTTCTGATCCTTCTGTTTATTTAAACGTTGACATGTATTCACTTTATATTGCCCGACACTTCCAGTATCCAGAGTCTTGGCTGTTTCGGTGTTCGGTATATGTCGTCACTCACTTTGGCTGGCAGTTTTAGAATTTGGATCAGCAGCTCACATTCAGCTGGACTCTCTGAGGAAGCCTGAAGAAAATACCTTCTATTCTAGTCACACGAGAGCTACGACTTCCTCACAGAGTCTCACACCTTCCCACCACGCCTGGTTTATGGAAGGCACTGCTGTGGGCATGACGCTGTAGTCCCCTCTCCTGGTGTTTCCGTGGAGGAAGGGGGCTTCCCCTTTCCTGGCTCCTCCCAGGAGACGGCTGGATTGGGTAGCACTGGACATTCTTTGAATGTCTGGACAATCCCCTTATTAACAGGTTAAATTCAAAAAAGGTTCTAACTTTCTGTATTCAATTCCTGTCTCCACACCTCTTCCTAGTTGAGTTACCAGAGGCAAGTTACCCATTCCACCAGTGGAAGGCACGCCTGCTCACGCCAGCTCACTTTTGGCCCTATTTTGGCATGGCCAGCACCCCGCGTGGGGTCCAGGGCCACCCTTTACAGACAGGTGTGTGTCTCCTGTGCACGCAGCCCTGAAGCGCACAGCTGAGCACGCAGGCCCCGAGGGCAGATCTGCGGTGGAGGTTACGTGGTGAGCCGACGTCTCCATTACACCTTCACCAGAGTCCCGCCTGGAGGCTGGAGGGTGCCTCTGTGCCAGGACAGGGGTTGACGGTGCTTCCCCGTGCCTTGCGGTCCTCCCGTGTCCTTGTGCTCAGGAGGGGAGGGCAGGGGAGTGGTGAGATGCCCGGGACCCCTGACAACCATCAGGCCCTTAAGGTCAGAGGATGCAGGCTTAAGAACATAGAAAACCATTTCAAATCCATTTTTAGCAGAACAAATGTATAATTCAAAAAAAGCCTTTGAATGATACAAGGATAAAAATTAAACGTCAAAGAATTGAATGTAAACAGCATCTATTCACAGAGGGAGCGTGAGGAGTTACATGTAGAGCTCATCACGGGCCAGGGCCTGAGGTCTCTTCTGGGCCTGCAGAACAAGGCAGAGCCTCGGGGGCCCTCGCCCTGCTGGGGAGTGGCTCTTGAGAGCCTGTGACAAGTGGACCCACAGCTGATGTGCTGTCGGCCCCACTCAGGGACCACCGGGAAGGAATTAGAACCGCAGAGGGCGCTGCCATCTCTGAGCTCAGGGGAGGGGCATCCAATCCATCAAAGGGCACGGGGCTGGGCTCACGGGATGCCCGCACGTGGAGGCCACGGGGCTCTGGTCCCAGCGCCACCAGAGGCCCCAGGGTGTGCCCGTCACTGCCCTGCCGCCGCCCCCAGGCCCCGCCCCTCAGCCCGCCTCGTGCCTTGTCTCTCTCCTCCCCCGCCCACTCTGGTCCTCGGGTGCTCCATCCCGTCCTGTCTCTTCTCCCACCCGCCTGGCTTTCTCTCTCTCTCTGCTCCCTCTTCTTCCTCTCACCCTGTTTCCCATCTGGGCCAGAACCTGGGCCCTTCCCCACCCAGCAAAGGCCACTTGGCCCCACACTAAGCAAAGCTTAGTCCCACCCGAGACCTCCCTAGGATTCACGTGTCATCGGCTTGGCCCCTTGGAGACCTTCGTTTCCCTGGGAGGCCACTGGGCTGACTGCACCGGCCACAGAGGAAGCTCTGGGTGGGAGGCACCGTATCTCTAAGGCCTTGGCCTGGAAAAAGCTGTCAGGGCCTCCGGCTTCGTAGGAGCCAACGCGTCCCACTGCCGCACCCGGATGCTGGCGGCATGCTCATTTATTAGGCTGAGTTCAGAGAAGGGGTGGGAGGCTGGAGAGGCAGGGCGGGGGTCCGGGAGGGGCATGGGAGGGGCTTCATCCAGGCCACGCTCCGGGTGGCCCTGGAGGTGGCATCACTTCTTGGAGGCCTGCTTCTTCCAGGTGGATGTCTTCTTATTGCTCTTCCAGGCTTTGTTGAGAGCACGCAGATCCAAATCAGGCTGGATCATTCTAGAAACCAAAGCAGAGAGAAGCAGGCGCTGGGAGACGGGTGGAGTGGGCTGGTCTGCCGGCACCCGGGCCTCCCTGGCCTGAGCCGGGGAGGGCAGGCCCCGCCGCCTCGCAGCTGAGGCCCCTGGGTGTTGCTCCGATCGGGGGTCCTGGTGACACCTGTGACCTTCCTGGATGCTCAGTGTGGCTTTTCTGTCTTCATGAGAAATAAGCGGTTTTCATGCAGAATATGATTTGCTTCACCGTTACTACGGCCAGCACGCTGGATCTTGAAGGCCTAGGACGTTTCTTGCCAGGAGGCAGCAGGCAGTCTCAGAGCAATGGGCCTGGGCCACGGGGCTTCGCCGAAAAGTCTACCAAAGGCCTCCATCTCCACCACCCAGACCACTGCCGGCAGTGCCAGGGAGCCGCCTCCAGGGCCAGCTGTACATCATGTTGATAAAAAGGGCCAGACGTCAGGATTCCTGGAGGACCCACGCCTGGGGGGGCAGTGACCTGCCCGAGGCCACTTGGCCCCACGTGGCCTCTGTGGCCTGTGGTGGAGCCGGGAGCACTTTTGTGAGCCACACCCATTCTGCTGACCACAGGGGGGTCCCTGAGCCCCGGGCCGGGGTGGCCACCTACTTCCTCTCGGCTTCAGTGGAGGGCTCCTCCAACTTGTCCCCCAAGGCCAACGAGGAGAGGCTTCCTTGGACGTCCCCCGAGACCGCTTTCTTGGCTGAGGTGGGGTCTTCCAGGCCCGGGACGGAGGCTAAAACGCTGCAGGGGAGGCAGGGAGGGGAGGGAGCGCTCAGTGGAGGCACAGCGCCGGGAGAGGGGGCCCGGGCCAGCCGCCCTGGCTCGGCGCCAACCCGTCAAGGTTCCAGTTCCGAGAAAAACGGGCGCTGGAGCTTCTCCTCCCAAGGTGGATGGAGGGAGGACTCCCGGGACCCGAGACTCCCTGGAGCTCAGCTGCCCTGGCTTCTGTTTACAGCTGGACCTGCCCTTAGCCCTGTGTCCGCCACATTGGTCCGCCCAGTGCTGACCACTGGAAAAGTCGGCCGAGGGGGCTCCGCGGGGCAAGCAGAGGACGAGGCACGGAGGCCCAGCAAGTTGGACCCGTGCACCGGGTTAAGGGTTGACTGCGTCCCCCTGATCCTCAGGTGGGAGTCCTAACTGCTGGGACCCCCAGAACATGACTGCATTTGGAAATGAGTGGAGACGAACTCACACCAGAGCAGCGTGACCTCTCGTCTACCTGGGGTCCTCACAAAGCGGGGAGTGTGGACGCAGACACGCCTGGGGGACGCCTTGTGAGGACAGCCGTGCTGCCCGGCCCGGGAGCCCCCAGGGGTGGGAGGCGGGCATGAACAGACAAGTCCCTGGTGCCCGCGGAGGGGGTGCGGCGGCCGCACCTCTGTCTGGACTCCGCCCCGAGACACGCTGGGCACCTGGTCAGGGCTCACCCCTCAGCGCACCTCCAGGCTCTGCAACCATCACGGACGACGAGCACTCTCCTCGGAGAGCCCGGCCTGCAGAGGCGGCTCCCCGGTGGGCTCCCCGGGGCGAGGGCAGATGGCAGCGTGAACGGAGGGGGCCCTCCCTCCTGACAGCATCAGGGCAGGGCCTGGCACGGGCGGGCTTCTCCCTGGCCCCGGGCCCGCCCTTCACGGCGCCCTCCTTGGATGGAGCCTGGGGGCACAGCTGAGGGGGAGAGGCCCCCGACACTGGGCCCGGCCCGCTGCCAGCTGCCCCTCCGTCCACCGCTGGGGCCCCTCCACCTCTTCTGATGTAGGCACGCTGTCAAGCGGCACAGTCGGGAAGCGCTTCCCCTCATGCATGGTGGTGCTTCAGAGTTTACAAAGCCTCTGCTTCAGTGTATTCGGAACACTACAGTTTACAGAGCCTGGCGAGGAGTCTCTGGGTGCTCACTGCACTGTGCTCCCTGTCTGAAACGCACTCTTCACAGAGAGCTGGTCAGCTGAGAAGGGGTGCTGGCATTTACGAGTGTCTTGTGGTCGACAGAGAGCTTCACAGGGTGCCGGGCACCTTACAGTTTGTGGAACACTTGCCCAGCTCCCAGCCCAAGGCCGTCTTGGTGTTCGGGTGGAGGGCACGCGGAGTTACAGGATGCTCTGGAGTCCACGGGGCATGTCAGCGTGCACGGCCCCCGTGGCTGGTGGGGCAGGCGACACCTGGGAAAGGCTTGGTCTTTCAGATCTCACCGCAGTGTGCACAGCGCTCCAGGGCTGACCGGGCTCACGACAGTTTAGATGGGCTTTGCAGTTCTACTGGGCAGACACAATTTACCAAGCACGATGCCATCGCAGAGCACATCACCTCCCAGAGCTTCTCATTCTCCTGCCTCCCTGCTCCAAGATGGTCCTGGGAGTGCGGGCTCTCCTCCCCACGGGCAGCGGGCAGGTGGCTGCCTGATGCCGTGTGCGGGGCGCTGCCTGGCCCCGCCTCTCCCGGCACTTGCCTGCCTCCCCTATGCCAATGGAGGGGCTGCGGGAGGGGCTCCTCGCCAGCCAGGCCTCTGTAGGGGGCTCACCTCCTGGACACGTCACCCAGCGGCCGGGCCGGAGCCACAGCTTCACTGGCCTCTCCCCGCCACCCCGCCAGGTCCTGCGGGCAGGCCCAGGTGCCCGCCACCCAGCCAGGTCCTGCGGGCAGGCCCAGGTGGCAGCAGCCAGGACAGCGGCGAGCGGCTCTGGGTCCGTGGGCCGGGCTCCTCCCTGGCCCCACACCCTCTGAATCCAGGTGGCATCTGGGCTTCCCCGGTGGCTCAGGCAGTAAAGAATCTGCCTGCGATGCAAGAGACCTGGGTTTGATCCCTGGGTCAGGAAGACTCCCTGGAGAAGTAAATGGCAACCCACTCCAGTATTCTCATCTGGAGAATCCCATGGATAGAGGATCCTGGCGGGCTACAGTCCATGGAGTTGCAAAGAGTCAGACAAGTTTAGCAACTAAACCACCACAGACAGAGGTGGCAGGAAAGCAGACCCCAGTGGGCGCATCTCCTGAGACTTCCTGCCCTGGACAGTCTTCCCCTTGCCCCCATCCAACCTGCCCCTGTGCCCGGGAGGGGCCGTGGCTTATCATGTCTTAGGAACTCAGAGCGGGACCAAGTGGAGAGGCGGAGTCAGGCAGAGCAGGAAGGACCTGGGTGAGGGGTGACCAGCGGAGGACTCACAACAAGAGTGGGGTGACCCTGATGGGGAGGCGCCCCCACCCGAGCCCTCCACCGCCCCCAGCCACGGACCCCACCCTGACGGGACCTTAGCGCCTGGGGCCTGTCAAGGGCTCCACCTGCTGTGGCCTTGCCCTCAAAGCTGCCTGGGCTACCCTCCTGCTCAGACCACTGCCGCCCCTGGCTGCCAGCTGCACCCGCGGTCTGGGAATCTGCTGGGCCTGCCTCCATCACCCCCCACCGCCACTCCAGGGCGGGAGTGAGCACCCGGTGCCCGGAGCCTCCAGGTGTTTCCAGGAGGACCTCACTGCTCTCTCCTGGGGGAGGGGGTCCTTCCTGCCCCGGCTGCGGCACCGCCCGGCCCTGGCCACCTCTGCAGCCCAGCGCGCCTCTGCTCACGGGCCCCCACCGCGGGGCCTGCCAGCGGCACAGCCTGCTGTGGCCACAGTGAGGCCTCCCCGAGCGCCGTGAGGGCGGCAGGGAGAGCAGCTGCCCAACCCCCGGGGGGCAGCAGCTCAGACTCACGAGGCGCCGCCTCCCCAGGACGCCGCCCTGCGTCCTTCCAGCCGTCCTCTGACCCAGCTGCTGCCCCCCAGCGCTGAGCTCTCCCGACCGTGCTGGCCTGCTGAGCCCTCCCGCGGTGGGGGCCCCTCGCTCGCTGAGCCCTTTGTGCCACTGCCCGAGCCCCACCCCAGAGCCGCAGCTCGCCCGAGAGAAGCCGAGGGGGTGAGGAGTGGGCTGGGCCGGCGTGGACGCGTGCTGAGTACAAGGCTGCCGGGGGTGGAGGCTCACTCTCTGCTGCTTGCCTCTGGTCTCCAGGCTGGCCCTGGCTCCCAGCTGGGGCTCTGTGCACTGGGCCGGGAGCCTTCACTGGGCTGTGCGTAGGTGGCCCTGTCCTGGGGTCAGAGACGACAGCTGTGGCCATGCCCACAGCGTGCCTCTCCTCCCCTGCCTCCACTCAGCCTGGCTGGCTGTGCAGAGGGGCTCGGTGAGGCTCCCTCCTGGTGGGCCTGTACGGGAGGAAGGAGCCGCAGCACGGAGCACCCAGGAGACCTGAGGGAAGGCAGGCTCACCCTGCAAGTGCGGGCTGTGGGACTGATGTGGACCGGTCGGTGGGGCAGGGAGGGGACGATCCTGTGGCCAGGGGGAGAACGGGGCCTGGTACTACTGGCGTGGAAAGGGGGGGCTTTGAGACCAAACCAGCCCCCGCCCCCAGGAGCCCACGAGCCGAGAAAACACCCCCTTTCTTCCCCACTGTGGCAAGCACCCACAGAGCATCTCCGTTCCCCTCTTTTAAAACTGGTAAAAACTGTGTAACATAAAATTTATCACCTTGACAGTTGTTCAGTGTACAGTTCAATAGCGTGATGTACAGCAGGACGTACGTACACATTGTTGGGCAATAGATCTCTTGAACGTTTCCATCCTGCAAAGGTGAACCTGTCCCCGTTAAACAAACCTCCCTGTCCCCCAGCCCCTGGCAGTCACCGCTCTACTCTCTGTGTCTATGGACCCGACCACTGTAAAGGCCTCACGAAAGTGCAGTCGTAGAGTGTTTGCGGTATGTCTGGCTTATTTCACAAAGAAATAAGCCTCCCAGTTCATCCATGTTGCAGCAGGTGTCAGAATTTCCTTCCTTTTTAAGGCTGAATATACTCCACTGTGCAGACAGACCATGCTTTCTTCATCCACTCATCCATCGATGGGCCTTGGGGTGCTTCCAGTTCTTGGACACTGGGAACAATGAGCTACAAACAGGGTGTGCAAATCTCTCTTTGAGACGCCTCCAGCTGTTTTAGTTGCACACCCAGAAGCAGACCTGCTGGACTGTTCGGTGATTCCATGTCTGTTTTAAGAACCTCCAGACTGGTCTCCACACGGCTGCACCCTGCATCAGGGCTCCAGCGTCTCTACACCCTCACTGACACTTGCTGTTTCCTGCTTGTTGTCTGCCAGTGGGCGTCCTGATGGGAATCAGGTGCTTTCTCCAATGCTCAGTGCTCTTCATTCCCTCTCATGGCGGTTTCCGGCCCTGCGGAGGAGCGACGGTAGTGTAGACCAGGTCTTGTCCACCTCCAAACCCCCAGGGCCAAGAGCAAGGCTGGGCAAGCGGCCGCTGATTAGAAACTGACCGAGTGGCCTGACTTTCAGGCTGCAAAGGGGTGGCCTCTGGAGAGAGGGCTCTCCCACCACCGGAGGCGTGTAGAGGTGGCCGGTGATCAGCAGACACCCTGCGTGCCAGCCTCTTCTTGCTCTGACCCAGCCTCTGACGCCCTGGGACAAAAGCAGCCCTCGGTCTTCATTCAACAGACACTTTCCAAGGGCCTCCTTTGTGCTGGCCCTGAGCAGAGGATGTGAAGACAAGAAAGCGGGGGTCCAGGGCTCGTGCGGCAGGGCTCCCAGCCCTCCGACAGCTTCATACACACCAAGACCTGCGGCCACTTCCCACCCACTGCCTGGGCCGCCAGCCCCAGGCGGCCCCGCCCCCGGGGCTGTAGGGGTCTGGGGCCTTCCCGGGAGCCCTGCAGCACCCCCTCACTGACCATGCCCTGGGTACGCGCAGTCTTAGACTCTGTCACAGTCAGCCTCTGAGAGGACCCCAGCCCCAGTCAAGGTCTGACTGCGAGACACGAGAGACCCCAGGCAAGAACCACCAGGCTGAGCCCAGTCAGAGACAATAACAAACGATTCTCTGGCTTCACACAACTAAGCTGGGGTGATTTGTTTCACAGATACAGACAGTAGGAAGTGTTGTTATGGCAACATCTTCTGGTAGACAGTCCATTCCCTTTTTCCCCTGAGTGCTTTAAAACTGTCAACATTAATAGGCCTTTCGAGAATTAGGAGGCATCCTACTGGTTTACAATATTTTCAGGAATCTGCCCCATTCCAATTTCAAGAACCTGGACTGTGTGCGTGTGTGGGGGGGGTGTCGGGTGGGAGTGGGGGTGTGTGTGAGAACACACACGTGAGCGCACATGTGTATGATTCTTCTTTTCCCATCATTTCTCAAAAAGTGTTGTAAACATAGCATTGATGCCCTTCAGAACCCTTGAACATAACAAAGCAGGAAACTGGAACTCATTTTAGTAATAACAAGAGCCGTGAGAACTGTCACTTGCAACCTCTCAGGAAATGCTGGTGAGCATCTATCTGATCGCCACAGTCCAGGACGGTGAGCACTGTGCTCCCACTCGCCTTCTGACTTTACAGACACATAAGCAGAGGCCAAGAGCGCCTAAGCGCTTGGCCCAGGTCACACATAGAGGGGTCTTTCTCCTGCCTCCCCCGCCCCTTTCTATCTCAGGCACATGCTGCATTTTCCCTTTGCAGCTCATCCTTTTGAGGATGGCTACATCTTGTTTAACGGTCTTTGGCAGCTCGAACACCCCTCAGTGGAGGGCCAGCCTTCTTCTGAACGTTTCTGAAATGCCTCCGCCCGTGACCGTGGCTCATCTTCCGTTTGGCCCCTCCGGCCGTGTCTCCCCTCCTCCTTCTGTCTCAGTGTATTTCTTACTTAGACCTCGCTGCCCCACTGCCTCCATCTTCCCTTCTGCTGGGACTGCTGATGAGCTGGTTTCCAAGGACCTCCAAGCCCCCCGCTTTGAGTCTCAGCCAGGCCTTTCCTCTCCACACCGTCAGCATCTGCCCTTCCACAGGCCCCTGCAGCCCCTGCCTTCCCCACTAAGAATTCCAGGATTCTGGGGTCACGGCCTGACCTCCACGTCCCTCCAGGAGTGGATTCCTCCCCAGACCTCTTTAGGGTCAGGCAGACATTCTGACGAAGCCCAAGCTCAGCGCCTGGGGGACACTGGAGTCAGGACCCCTAGAACCGGAGGGCCTGGGGGGGGGGTGGGTTGCTGGGCTCAGCGCAGCGGGGGCGCAATCACGGGCAGGCCCGAGACGGCGGGCAGGCGCTGCCCGAGCACGCTAGAGTCCGTGCAGGCTCCCAGTACCGTCGTCAGCAGCGTCATAAACCCCAGGCTCCCTCCCTGGGCCAGGCTGTGTGCTTCTGCCACCATAGACCTAGCTTTGTCTGCCCCTCCCGCGCCAGGTGGGGCCCAGGCGCCTCCCACGGCGCCAGCCCCTCCTCTCAGCCGCCCTGCCCTGTGCCCAGCCCTCACCCCTCATGCTTCCCGCCGTACCTGAATTTGTAGTTCTCAGGCAGGAAGTAGCCCATCTTGCAGTCCTGTCGAGCCTGGAAGATCTGTTTCAGCAGGTTCTGCCTGCTGAAGCCATAGCCGTTCAAAACACAGCCCCCAAAAAGTAGCTTTCCCCCAGCGAACATCTGTTGACACGAGAAGGAAACAGTGCGCGCTGCCCTCAGCACTAAACCTCAGGACGGGCTGCTGGCTCTCAGAGCCTGTTCCCGGATCCGAGCCTCCCTTTGGTGGCTCCAGGGAAGGGCGTGTTCCCGCCCAAGTGCCCCAGTGAGTGTGGCCGAGCCTGTCCCCTAGCCAGACTTCTGGGTCAGAGGGCGGCCTCAGCGTCCCAGCCTTTGCTCCCTGCAGCCCTGACTGGCTGAAACGCCCCTTCCCAGAGCCCAGGGCAAGAAAGTGTCTTTCTTCTCAGAGGCCACAGACCCGCTCGGACGGGGCCCCCGCGGGCAGGAAACGTAGTTCCTCCTACTGCTCTCTGAGCCCCTACGCTCTACGTGTCAGTCTCAGCCTGAGAGGCCTGTGCAAGGATGCCTGTTTGTTACGGCCCAGACCAACAAGGAAATACAGAAACATTCAACAGAAGGAACACGAGTAGAGAAATAGAGAGATTCTTACGCTGCAGATAAAAATCATAATTAAAAGCAGGATCTCAAAGTCAGAACATTCTTGGACAGGCCAGACACCAAAATGTGACCAGGGTGTGCCCCGGGGCTCCCCAAAGCACTGGTGCCGCCAGGCGCCCAGTGGGAACAATGAGGCCATCTGGGGGAGATGATACAGTAATTCTCTTTCTAAACTGCATTTTCCAAAATCTCTACAACGAATATACATGCTTACACGATATCCTGTATTTAGATAAACAGTACGTAAAAGCAAACAGGTGAAGAGGATTGTTTCTCCGGGTGAAGCATCCCCTGCCCTTTCAGCCTCCTGGGATGGGGGACACGTGGGGTCAGCCTGGGGTGGAAGGCCGGGCTCGGGGGACGAGGGTCCCGGCTGCAGCCCCAGCTCACGTGCTGGGGGCCCCTCGGTCTGTGCTCCCCCCGGGCCTCGGCCTGGCCCCTGCGCCTGCGATTCTGCAGAGGCCAGGGTGGCGGGGGCCCCTGGGCCCTGGCTCACCAGAATCATGCCCTGCACCACAGCGTACTTCTTCACCAGCAGAGGCGGGTCCCTCTGCAGCGGGCCGTCCAGATCGTAGCGCAGCAGGCGGTAGGGATCGCGCCGGCACTGCCGAGAGAGGAAGGAGTGCCTGTCGCCCCCACCCAAGGAGACGCGCTGAGACTCCCGTGCTCTCAGCCAGGTCGGGCCTCCCTGAGCCCACACCACAGCACCCCCTCCTCCCACGGGCCCTTCAGCCCCTGCTGTGCGACCGCCCCTTGAGCCCTCCCCGACCATCCCCAGGGGGTGTCTCGGGCCCAGTCAGGGCCCTGTGCTGGCGAAGGTTATCGCAGAGATGGCTGTTCACACCACGTGACATCCGTGAGCCTCCTGCGGTCTGCAGGATTTGTTTCTCCCCTTTACCTGGGAGAAGCCCTGCAGAGATCTGCAGGTGAGTCCTGTTCCCAGGGGTCCCCCTTTCCAGGACTCCTTCCTGCTCTATCCAAACTTGCTGGCTGTCCCTCTGAACACCCCCAGTCACCCAATCCAGCCAGAACCTGAACTGGACATATACTTCTGGGTACAGCCTGGTCAGTCCAGAATAAAGCTGGTCTCTCTCCTCTCCTCCCTGATGCTACAGATCCAATGATATGACTACTGTGTAATGTGACATCTTCTGATTTTATCTGTCTTTTTTTCCAGGTGCCCCTAGCTGTCCTGTCTGCCCTTTCAGTTTAAAATGTGAAACTCTGCACCCAGGGTTCCAGTTATCAGAGCAGGAGACCATCAGGGAACATTTCTGCCTTAACCGAAGACCCCAGAACGGTGGAACCAGAGTCACCGTGAGACCCAACCCCACCCCCGGGCCCGTCCTCTGTCCTCAAATCCCGCCGCTCAGCCCTGCACTGCTCCAATCACCTCAGGCCAGACCTGCGCCATTCATACTGCCCATGCTGGGCCGCCGCGCCTTCCTGTTCTTCCAGACAGTCATTCGCGAACAGCAAATGGCCCTGAGACAAACTAAAGTCAATGCTAATCTCCCACATGGCCAGGGATGATATCCATACACGGGCAGATGCAGTAATAATGCTCATGGAATCCAATGAAACTGGAACTGGCTCCAGAAAACACACGTGGCTTTGATGTGTGAGCCCCTAGGAAGTCTTCCGGCACCCGATCAGAACGGTTTGCCAAGCCCTGGGCCCTGGCCGGCATGCAGAGCCGAGGGCGGCACTCAGGGCTCAGGGAGGTGCACCCGGGGAAGAGGCCTGGAGGGGCATGCCCAGGGCACACGTGGAGATTCAGCTCTCAGGGCTGCAGCTGGAGGACAGGGCCACGCCACGGGTCTCAGAGGCCACAGGGCACCGAGACACTGCAGGCAGTCAGCAGGCCGACACGGAGCTCTCGTGCCCACACCCGGGCCCTCCGCGCCCCACGGCCTGAGGACGGGGCCACACCGCGGTGTGCCAACCCTGCCTGGAACGGCTAAGGCTTGGGAACAACTCTGCAGCGTGGGGACCGGGGGGATTGCACGCACCCCGGACTGACTGACCCCGGGACTTCAGGCACAGCGAGCTGGAACCTGGAGCGGCCACTCCCCACCCACCTTCGCACAGGCCGCTGCCTCTGCTGCGGACGCCCACCCACCAGCCAGAGCCTCTCTTCCTGGGAGACGTGGGCTGACCCTGAGGCAGGCGGCCCTGTTCTGGGATCCTACAGGCCCTGTCCTCTCACGGCCCGCGCCGGGGCCGCCCTGAGTGCCCCCCTGGGCACAGGACCCACACTGGGGTGCTCGGCCACGAACACACCAGAGCCCTGAGGGCCTCATGGCGAGCGCAGCCCCTCTAAATACTCAGTCTAGTGCGTGACCACCATGTGCAGCTTGTGGTCTGGGAGAAAACGGCAGCACCCTGATGGGTCTCAAGGCCAGAACAGGCCCCCAGCTCGAGTGGCGACATTCCTCAGGGACAGGAGGATGAGTGGGAGAAAGTAGGAAGAGCGTGTGCGAAGGCCCAGGAGAAAGGCGATGGAACAGGACCCCCAGGCGCTCAGTCACAGGCCCAGCCAGTCCCAGCCCCGGGGGGGTCTCCCCTCCACCCGCCCCCTGGGCCGGCCCGGGACCCACCTGGATGCAGGGAGAGGCGCGGCCCTGCTGCCGGGGGCTGTAGAGCGTGTCCAGCAGCCACTGGAGCTGCCCCGACTTGGTGGGGTTCCGGCCCGACACGATCCCAAACACCAGCACCTGGCTGGGGTCTCGGGGCGCCGACAGGAAGCGTTCCAGCTCCACGTCGGACACCAGGGGCACCTTCACCATACACTTGCAGCCGGCCTGGATGTCCTCTCTGCTGATGAGCTTCCGCAGCACCAGGGGGCAGTCGGACAGTGAGGCCGCCCACCTGGTGGGGCTGCACACCTCTCCGGCCTTCCCTCTGCCAGGAAGAGCAAACAGCGGCACTCAGCGGGCGAGGCGCAGGCTCCAGCACCCCAGTCCCAGATCCAGGTGGACAAAGGCCACGTGACCACAGAGTTGGAGTCGAGATCCAGGCAGTGCTCGCCTGGCCTCCGCCACCAATGTGCAGCTGTGCCTTCAAGGGGCCCCTAACCTCTCTGTGCCTCAGTTTCCTCTGGTGCAAAGCAGTATTCACAAGGGAATTCATCCATCCAACAGACTCTGGAATCATCCTGAATGCCTTTCCTTCTCACACATCTCATGTCCCATCCAGTCCATCAGCAAGCCTGTCCACTCTACCTTCAAAACAAATCGAGGATCCGACCACTTTCCCTGCCTGCACTTCTAGTAACACATCTAAACCTTCAACTGCTCTTGCCTGGCTGTTCAATTATCCTGTTATAACCAGGTGGCTCACCTGGTAAAGAATCCACCTGCAACGTGGGAGACCTCGTTCGATCCCTGGGTTGGGAAGATCCCCTGGAGAAGGGAAAGGCCACCCACTCCAGTACTCTGGCCTGGAGAACTCCAAGGACTGTATTACAGTCCATGGGGTCGCAAAGAGTTGGACATGACTGAGTGAATTTCACTTTACTTCCTAACCAAGTCATACCCAAACATAGACAACTTATGATTACCAAAGGGAAAAAGAGTGTTGAGGGATAAATTAGGAGCTTGGGATGAATGTATACACACTACTGTACATAAAATGGGGTTTCCCAGGTGGCCTAGTGGTAAAGAATCTGCCTGTCAATGCAGATTCATCAGTTTGATCCCTGGGTTGGGAAGATCCCCTGGAGGAGGAAATGGCAACCTACTCCAGTATCCTTGCCTGGAAAATTCCATGCACAGAGGCGCCCGATGGGTCAGAGTTCATGGGGTCACAAAGAGCAACTGCACATGCACGTATATACAAAAGGCCCATACAAAAGATAAACAACAAGGACCTGTTCTATAGCTCAGGGAACTCTGATGTTTGGTAATAACCTGTGATTCTGTAACATCATTTCAGGAAAATAACCTGAAGAGGTGTGTGTGTACTTGTTGTATGCCTGAAATGTCATTAATCAACTAGGTTGTTGTTGTAATTAGTCACCAGGTTGTATCCGCCTCTTTGTGACTGCATGGACTACAGACCGCAAGACTCCCCTGACCATGGGATTTCCCAGGCAAGGATACTGGAGTGGGTTGCATTTCCTCCTCCAGGGAACCTTCTTGACCCAGAGATTGAATCCTTGTCTCCTCCACTGGCAGGTGGATTCTTTACCACTGAGCCACCAGGGAAGCCCATTAATCTATTACACTGTAATTAAACTTTTTTAAGCCAAGTCACTCCATGTCACTACTCTCTTTGAAACCCTTCAGGTGCTTCCCATCTTCACAGGATAAAAGCCAAAGTCCCCGCAACGCCCTCCAAGCCTGTGCTTGATCCGGCTCCTTTCTCAGCCCCTTATTCCCCTCCAACAGTCTCAGCTTTGCTCGCTGCACCAGCCGCGCTGGTCTTTTCTCACCCTCCAATCTCAGGGCCTTTGCACCTGCTGTTCCTTCTGCCTGCCTGGCTTTCCCCCCAGACACCCACTTTCTCACCTTCTTCGTGTCTCTATGCAAATGTCACCTTCCCAGTGACACTTTCTCTGACCGTCCTGTTAGGAACTGCATCCTTCCACCACCAACACATGTCCCCCGTCCTTGCCTGTTTTCCTTAGCATTGCTCACAATCCAAAACGATATACATTTTGCCTATTTATTTTGGTTATTTTATTTCTCCATCCGAACAGAACAAAAATTACATGAATCCATGAGTTTGGAGAGTTCTACTCAGCAGGATAATAGCAAAGATTCAACTATTGCTGTTCAGTGGCTAAGCTGTGTCCGACTCTTTGTGACCCCATGAACTGCAGCACACCAGGCTCCCAAGTCCTTCACTATCTCCCAGAGTTTGCTCACACTCATGTCCATTGAGTCAGTGATACCATCCAACCATCTCATCCTCTGTCACCCCCTTCGCCTTTGGCCTTCAATCTTTCCCAGCATCATGGTCTTTTCCAATGACTTGGCCTTTTGCATCAGGTGGCCCAAGTATTGAAGCTTCCGCTTCAATATCAGTCCTGCCAATGAATATTCTGGGTTGATTTCCCTTAGGATTGATTAGTTTGCTCTCGTGGCAATCCAAGAGACTCTCAAAAGTCTTCTCCAGCACCATAATTCAAAAAAATCAATTCTTTGGCACTCAGTCTTCTTTATGGCTCAACGCTCACATCTGTACATGACTACTGGAAAAACCATAGCTTTGACTAGATGGACCTTTGTCGGCAAAGTATTATGTCTCTGCTTTCTAATATGCTGTCTAGGTTGGTCATAGCTTTTCTTCCAAGGAGCAAGCGTCCTTTAATTTCATGGCTGCCATCACCATCCACAGTGATTTTGGAGCCCACAAAAATAAAGTCAGCCACTGTTTCCCCATCTATCTGCCATGAAGTGATGGGATCGGATGCCATGATCTCAGTTTTTGGAATGTCGAGTTTTAAGCCAACTTTTCCACTCTCCTCTTTCACCCTCATTAAGAGGCTCTGTAGTTTCTCTCTGTTTTCTGCCATTGGAGTGGTACCAGCTACATAACTGAGGCCGTTGATATTTTCTTCCAGCAATCTCAATTCAAGCTGTGATTGACGCAGCACAGCATTTCACACAGTGCGGCACTGTGCACAGGAGTCACATAAGCAAGGCGGCGATGCACAGCTTGTTGCACTCCGCTCCCAGTCTGGAACCGCTCAGTTGTCCCAGGTCTGCGCCCTACTGCTGCTTGGCCCACACAGAGGCTTCTCAGGAGGCAGCTACGGTGGTCCGGCGTTCCCAACTTTCGAAGAATTGTCTGCAGTTTCCAGTGGTGCACACATTCAAAGGCTTTAGCAATAGTCAATGAAGCAGAAGTAGGTGTTGTTCTCGAATTCTCTTGCTTGCTTTATGATTCAATGAATGTTGGTAATTTGATCTCTGGTTCCTCTGCCTTTTCTAAACCCAGCTTGCACATCTGGAAGTTCTCAGTTCACGTACTGCTGAAGCCTGGCTTGAAGGATTTTGAGCATAATCTTGTTAGTGTGTGAAACGAGAGCAACTGTATGATAGCTTGAACATTCTTTGGCACTGCACCTCTTTGGGGTTGGAATGAAAACAGATCCTCATAAAATAAAATGGACAGTCTCTGTGGACCTACAGGATCTAACAGACATACACATACTCTATGACAGCAATTTCACATCCTGGAATATTCCAACTAGAAAGAAGGACATATGCAAACACCAGCAAGGTTTGTCATTACCCAAACGGAAACGGTAACCAACCTAAATATTCGTCAACATTAGGATGTGCAAAATTTTTAGTGTAATCCTACAATAGATTATTACACAGCAATGAAAAGCGGCAGCGATTCTGCCACACACAACCACATGGATAAATCTCACAGTACAACATTGAGCAAAAGAGGCCAGACACCAAAGGATGCATACTGAATGGTTCTATTGAAATAGTTAAAAAATAAACACTAAGCTATGATGGGAGTATCTCTTCCTGTTGGGGAGGAAGGTGGGATTATTGATTGGGAGGGGAAAAAAGGGAAATTCTATTTCTTGGGACCAATGGGGTATGCTCACTTTGGGATACACACTGAGCTATACACTTAGGATTTTTTAAATTTTTCTGTATTTTATAAAAAAAGAGATACCTTGATCCTATATATTTTTCTAAGTTTTCTTAAAGCCTCATGAATCAGATGGTGTCACTCCCTGCCTTACAGCTACGGAACGGCTTCCTCTAAGACTCCGAGATCTACCTGGCCCAGCTCCTGTCTGTCTTTCTGTGCTCACTTTGCATCCCTCTCCCATCTCCCTCACGATGCTGCACCCTGGTCTTCTCACTTTCCCTCATACACACCAAACTTGTTCTTGACTCAAGGTCCCTGTACTTGTTTCGTCCTCGGCCTCATGTTCCTTCTCCATCCTTTGTTTCTAATCCCTCAGGCCTCCGCTAACGTTCTCTCTTCAGAACTGCTTCCCCGACTGTCTCCCCATGCTCGGGGCTGGCTGGATGATAAAAAGCCTAGGATTTGCAGGGCCAGCGGTCTCGGTCACAGTGACGCACCATTTTTGTCCTCGCAGGAAAGCTGCTACAGACCACAGATGAATGAGTGGGCGTGGGCGTGTCCCAATAAAACCTTACTCATGGGTCCTGACGTTGGAATTTCCTATCATTTCACATGTCACAAAAAACTCTCTTAACTTTTTTCCTCCCAAGCATTTAAAAACATAAAAATGACTCTTAGCTAGCTCATAAACAAAGCAGGCAGTGAGGGAGCCAGATGTCAGCCCTGGCCGTAGTTTGCCATTTCTACTTTCTTCCCAGGCTTTCTCTCCATCTGAAGTATTTCAGCTGTCCCCATGTTTCTCTTCTATCTGTTCTCCCTCGGTTTTGCCCACCGTTGTGAGTCTCCCGCCCATCTCAGCATCTGACACAGGAAGCCCACCTGCGTGTGGCCGTGGCCTTGGTGTGGGGCTTGCCGGGCTTCTTCCGCGTGGGGCTCACAGGAGCCGACTCGGGCTCCTCCTTTGGGGCCCCTTCAATCAGGGACTCGGGCCGGGCTGACTGCGACCGCAGTAGCAGCACATCTCCTGAGGACAGGCTCAGCTTGGTGCTGCGCCCCGGGAAGAGCCCGGACTTCAGCCTGGCCCGGCTGGCGTCTGCCTCTTCCTTCACTGGGTACTTGATGGTGAACAGGCCTGTGGACAGAAGACCCTGGGGTCACTCCCCTGGCCACCGCGCCTCCTCGGAGGCTGCCCGGCTCGCCTCTCCTCTCCAGCCTGCACTCCTAGCGTCTGATGCAGGACTGCCCCCACCACTGATGTCTGGCCCAGCGCGGGCGGTGGTCGGCCAGAGCTGGCAGAATGGAAGAACAGGTCAGTCTCCATCCTCACCTTCTGTCAAGAACCCCGCTCAGATCCCTCCTGCCCCGGGCGCCTGGGTTTCGTTCAGCTTTGTCCTCCTACAGTCTCTGTGGAGGCTGGGTGCCCGACGCGTCCCCGCTGTTCCCGGGGCCTCCCTCTCTGTTCCCGGCTCTACTTGTCTTTTTCTTTGCTTTTTCCGCTAGAATGGCCAGAGACCTCTCATTTCTTCACTCACTTACCAAACGTTTCCTCAGTGTTGGGCACTGGGCAGAAAGATGACCCTGCGCAGGGCTCCCTGCCTCTAGGGACTCCAAGCAGGAGTCGGGGACAGAGATGGGAAAACAAAGAAATACTCATAATGCTAGGTGGGAAGGCTTATAATTACAGCATGGACGAGTGCTGTGGTAGCCCAGAGGGGTGTGTGACGTTCTGCTAGAAGGTATAGGAAGGCTTTCCAGAGGCAGGCGTAGCTGAGCTGAGTATCTGGGGACAAGGAGCAACTCCCCAGGGAGGCCGTGGGGGCACCACAGCCCCTGTGCCCAGCCAGGGGCTGGCTTGGGGTGGGAGAATCAATGCTTCTTCGTACCCAGGCCCATGAGCAGTGAGGAGGGGAGCCCAGACGTGGGGGGGGTCTCGAGGCCACCCACGCCAGCCCTGGGGGACTCTGCGGGCCTGACAGGGACAGCCTGGTGACTTGGCTGCTTTTCTCTCTTCTACCAAGACCTTCAGCAATGAGAGGAACAGGGGGTGCAAGTGGATGATGGACGATATGGCAGACGGAGCCAAAAAGTGAACCCTGTGTGGGTGGGGGTGAGGACAGAGAGAACATCAGAAAGACCAAGAGAGACCCAGCAAAAGGCAATCATGTGGAGACATAAAGACATGCAGAGAGCTCTCAGAAGCTGAGGTTGGCAAAGGCCACTGCTATCAGCTGAGCAGCCCTGAGGAAGCTCCCTCCCCACTCTGAGCCTGGTCATCCCATCACCAATGGGGAATCCTGCTGCGCCATCTCCCTGGGGTGCTGAAGAGCTGTCCTTGGAGGTGATCTCAAGGTGGCCCAGGATCTGGGAAGCCCTGGGACAGGACTGCACCCCCGTTTCTGCCTCCCTACCTGCCGCCAGCAGGATGGAGTTCATGAACTGGGACACTGTCTTCTGAAACCTCCTCTTGATCTCTGCCAGGGCCCGGCTCATCTTAGATATCTTTTCGTCCATGCTGCTCATTCTGCGGGTTATCTAGGGAGAGGCCGAGGGAAGGGCTTCGTCAGCAGCCCCGCCAGAGTACATCTGCCCAACACAGTGACCACAGGGGTGGCCTTGGCACAGAGGATGTGCTGTCCCTGCAGGGGGCCCACCTTGTCCCCTCGGCCAAGTGAATTCCTGCACTCTGACTTAACCCGCCTCAAATGTCCCTCACCCCTAGGGACGCTGGTTGGTTTGGGCATAACTGTTCCTTGCCTTGGACCCCCACTGTGCTCTCTATGCAGTCTTAAGACAGAGGTTAGGTAGCCCTTTGTGATCAGCTGCGTGGAAGACTGTCTCCCCAAAAAGACTCCAACCTCCTGGAGGACAAGCATCAGCTCTTGGTCTTCTCTGTATCTGGGAGCCAATCACACAGAAGGCGCTCAGTTTATGCGTGTTGTATTATGAATAGCTGGATGGACAAATGTTCTCGGGAGCTTCTGCTGCCTGCATGACCCTCAGAACCCTTTTCACCCTGCTGACAGCTCTCAGCTGAGAGACCGTCATGTACCAGCGTTACATAGACTGACCGGTACCCATGGGCACCAGGCCAGGTCTCTAGCTCAGTGTGGGAATACTACGAAGGGCAACTTTGGCTCCAAGGCTCCTGTGAGGCAGTCAAGGCCATCCTGCAGGTCAGCCTCTGCAGGAAAGGCTTCTGTAAATAATGCCCTGATTAACAGCAAAGCCTCAACGATCCTTCTGATGGTTGGTCCCGACCTCTGTCTCTGGGCTAATTTTATTTATTTTTAATTTATACCCAGTCTTGCTTCCAAAAAGGATTTGAGGCAGTACTGGGTGAATAAAGCATTTAAAATGAGGCATTTCCTTGCTTCCAAAGTGCTGCCTTGATAGAAATATTTAGTGAGGAGTATGACTGCAGGGCCATAAAATCTGGGACTGCCACTCTGCCTGTCACTCTGATGGGTCATTCCTTCCAGGATACTGTGTGTCTGGGGAACCATTTAACAAGTTTTCCAGTGACAGGGACTGTGAGGGAAGAGGCCACCTTACCCGCATCCCTCAGCTTCCCTGGATGGCCACAGGTTTGCCGATGGGTGACAGGTAGACAACACACACACACACACACACACACACACACACACACACACACACACACACACACACGCACACACACATACGCACACACACACATACAGAATACATACACACATACACACACACATACACACATACATACACACATACATACACACACACATAGACACACACACAGACACACACACACACACATACACACACACACACATACAGACATACACACACACACAGAGACACACACACACATAGACACACACACACATACACACACACATAGACACACACATACACACACGCACGCACACACACACACACGCATACACACGCGCACACATGCACACACACATACACAGATACACACATACTCACACACACACACACACACATGCACGTGCACACACACACACACGATGGAACTGAACGGAATTTTAAACCCCAGTAGAGAGGTGTGGGAAAGCTGGGTGGACCTTTACGCGCCACTAACCAAACGGGGAGCCTGAGGCCCAGGAAGGGACGGTAGATGGGGCGGCCCGAGGCCCCTCCTAGACATGGCGCTCTCTCTCAAGACTTCATATAAGAATATTCCGAGATGTTACCCTGCCAGCTAGGGTTGACAGTTGGAAATCCTGTTACCCACAGTGAGCCTGATATTTCTTCATTTGCGTTTTTCTGGTCAGAAGGCTGTAAAATCCAGTACACCACCCTGCATTCTCAAAGAAAAGGGGTTATGACGAGGACACTTTGGGGCAAGTCAGTTTCCTCTGTCAACATTAACATCTAGACTATCATCTAGAATGCAGTAGTTTTCAGAAGCTGTTTTAATGTATTTGCCTGTTTATCCCTACACTAAGTGTACCCAAGACAGTTATGCTTTTAGAGGTATAACGTTCGTGTATGATTTCAATACTTTCAGACCATGAAATTTTTGCACCTTGTTTTATGTTGCTGGATATGTTCCAGTGTTTCCTACTTTCAGTCTATGAGCACGTACATAGAATTTATATCCTGCTGTTGTGTGAAAATTGTATATCTAAATCTTAAGTATGTTGAATTGGTTCATAGTGCCCTTCATGTCTACTGTATCCTTCTACTTTTTCCAATCTATTCATTCTATTAATTTTTGAGAGTTTCATGTTGAAACTCCAACTAAAATCTTAATTTCTCTACTTAAAAAATAACTATAATATCTAGTAGAACTGTATGTAAGTTTGTTCTGTATTTTTCAAATCTGCTGTAAATGTGTTCTCATACTTTTATAATTTAAAAAAATGAAAAAGAAAGAGTTACACTGTTCTTGTTAATAAACAACTTTCAGCTTCCTTCTACACCATCAGCCTCTGTAAGCTTCCTGTAGTGGGAATTCCACCTTTAGACTCTCACTGTAGATCTGCTAGAAATATCAAGTGAGCTGCACATGTGGTTTTAAATGTTCCTAAAACCACATTAAAAAGTTCTCAGAAGATGAAATCAATTCTAATTACATATTTATCTAACACAATACGTCAAAAATATGATGACTGCAACATGTAATCAAAATAAATGATCAGTAAGAACTGTGACATTCTCTTTCATACTGAGTCTTTGAAATGCGGCGTGTGCTTTCATTTCCAGCCCATCTCAGCCTCAAGTTATCACACTTCAAGTGCTCAATAGGCATTTGTGACTCACAGCTACCGTGCTGGAACACAAGGCTCTGGACCCCTGATTCTAGCTCACGAAGGCTGCATTTAGTGAAGGAAACATAAGATGTGAACGACTGTGGGGCTTTCCGAGGCCCAGGGGGCATGTTTGACATGTGGACTTAGGGTGATTCTCTCGGCCGTTTCACGAGGGTCTTCAGCTGCTTACATCCTGGTTCTCAGCCCTGCTCCAAATGTGAAAGATTATCAGACAGGAGGGTGCCAGAACAAAGATGCATTACTGCAACTTTACGGGAACAAACTTTTTCTATTGCCTACTGCCTTGATAAGTCACTGCACATTTAAAAATACAGTATAAAAAGGTTTTCAAGAAATATAGGCACGGGACTGCATACATTCTGTGTGCTTAGTCACCCAACAGTGACATTTAGAGTAAGAGCAGGGGACCAAATTGGCAGAACGGACTCGGCGCTCAGCACAGTCATTTGTCTCAGCCCTCAGGGACTCAAAACCCTGGGGCTGCTTCGGTCTTTGGTGTGGGGAGTGTAGGCTGAAGTCACAGGCATCTGAGATACCTGGCTGCTTGATGAGACCCTTGAATGAACCCAGCACCCCCTCAGCTCCCCTTGCTCACCTACCCCAAGCCAGTGAAGCTGCATCACAACCACAGTGATGCTTTTGCCCCTTCCGTTAGACTGAACGTATTTCATAGATGAGGAGTGAGGCTTCTTAAATATCCCTGGCGGCCAATCTAGCACATGGCAGGTGCCAATTTATGTTTATTGAATTAACTGATCAATTAAAAAAGTTGAAAAGGTATTGAAATATAAGAAAAAACAGTGCAGCGCTTCCCTCCAGGAGAAACACAGGTGTCCTCTGTATCCTGTTCAGATGACACTGGTCTCCAGTAAATGTCTGCCTCTCCTGTGCCCACAGGAAGGGAAACTGGGGCACTTCTGAGAGTGAAAGTGAAGTGAGAGTCGCTCAGTCGTGTCCGATTCTTGCCACCCCCTGGGCTATACAGTCCATGGAATCCTCCAGGCCAGAACGCTGGAGTGGGTAGCCGCTCCCTTCTCTAGGGGATCTTCCCAACCCGGGGATCAGACCCAGATTTCCCACATTGCAGGTGGATTCTTTACCAGCTGGGCCACAGGGGAAGCCTGAGAGTGACAGGGATGCTACTAATAATTTCTGGGCTGACAGGTGTAAACGGGGACTGGGCCGGGGAAGACTGGGAGGTGTGGTCCCCATGCTTCCACGCCAAGCAAGCCAATGCCTGGTGTGTAATGCCAGTGGCTGGTGCCACCAAGGAGTCCTTGGCTACCCCAGTGTCTCACAGTGAATGTCAACTGTCCTCCTCTAGACTTTAAACTCCTGGGGGATCAGGGACTTTATCCCCTTCATCCTATCCATCGCTCTGCAATACTACGGACCAGGCACACAGGAGGTTCCAGGAAGGCCCAGTGAATGAAGAACTGGGTTTCCAGACTCTGCCACTGTCTCACCTGCCCCCTCAGCGAGTACTCCATCTAAAGCAGTCCTCATACTGAGTCCGGGGGCAACGGACACAAGTAGGAATCCCCAGTTCAGTAGAGAAGGCTGGCTTATAAATAAAGCAGTGTTGGAATGAGGTGAGTCACGGCTGGAGGGCTGAGTAAGGGGCCAGGACTCTACCTGGGATGGGCAAGGAGGTGGTGGAGAGGATCAACACACGGGCAGTGATTCTGTCCAGCACCATTTCTCCCTCTTCCGGCAACAGCACCAGAGTCTCCCTTCAGGAACACCCTCCTGCCTAGTCCTTTGCCCAAGTGGTATAGCAGGGACTGATCACACCCCTCGGCTCCTGGGCTGGACATGACACTCAAGCCTGGCCAGTGAGAGCATCACACACTTCTGGCCACAGAGAACATTCCAGGCATGGGCACCAGATGGGGCTAATGATGTTGCTGTTGGCACCTCTACTAGAACACATAGCAAAGAGAGGTTCTTTTTCTCTTGGGAAAACCAAAGCTGGAAGAACAATGAGCCCGGAGAGGCTCAGGACCATCTGGTCACCATAAGGTGAGAAAAACTCCTTGAGGACGAAGCCAACAAAGAGGAGGGCAGAGCGAGGGGGTGGGAAGATCTCATAGATCCCTGAGGGCCTGGATGCAGTCGTGCCTGACGCTGCCTATCTACAGACTGACTTCGGTTTACTGAGCCAGCACTGTCTCTCCAAGCTTAAGGTAGCCTGCGCTGGACTCTGAGGCGCCTGAAAGACACGTGACACAGGTTTCACAGAGAAGGCAGCACTGAAGTCTGACACTCAACGATGAGCAGGGAAAGAGGTCAGGCCTTGTATGGGGTGAGATGCTCTGGGCTCAGGCCCGGGTGACTGGTCTATGAGCCTTACCCGCTTATCATGCGATATCCCGTGGGGACAGTTGCTGGCCGATATGGGGAGCGTTACTGTCTCATTCATGGAGGTGAAGGTGACCATCATAGAGTCCTGCCCGAGCACCGTCAGCTTCATTTGATCATTCACCTGTGGATGAAGGAACCAGGACTCCGTGGGTCCCTGCTTCTGCTGTCCCACCTACTGCTTCTGACATACGGCAAAACACAAAACCCCTCTTTGGCCTGGGGCTGAGGGAGCTGTGAGATCTCTCTGATTATGATGCTAGAATCTTGCTTTTATGGAGAAGACAAAAGAATCTCCATTTCTCTTTGGGGATTAGTAGAAAAAGTAAGGATGTTTCTTTACCACTGCCCCTTCCCTTTCCAACATAAACCTGTAAGCAGCTGTGAAGGAGATGGGGGGATCCAATAGCCGAGTCAGCTCTTACCAGGTTGATTTCCCCCACAGAAATGGGAAAAAATACAATACAACAACTATCCAAAGGATCATAAGAGTGAGCAAAAGCAGGCAGATTTCTGAGTCAAAACTTAAAAGGACCAACATGGGATGAGTTCTTTCTGGCCCAAAGAACCAAAGGACAAAACCTGGAGCAAATGACAGTCTCAGAAAAGTAAGGAGAGATTTACAGAAGGGATAGAGAAATAGAGTCCCAGATGCTTTAATAATCAGTCCGCAGCTCTAGCTGATCCCTGGACCATGTGTGAACAGTGCAGACTCAAGGCAGCTTACTTCCAGGGAAACAGAAAACTGAACTGAGATTTGAGCTGCTGCCCACTACTGGTGAGACAAAGTTTGCACTGTAACTCTAAGTCCACTGCCTATTAAAACAAAAACAATCAACACATCAGAACTCAGAGACTCCAAAACATAGCAACCACAATGTCAGCAATCCAAAATGACTCAACGTGTGAAGAACCAGTGAAGTGTGAGCTGTTCTCAAGGCAACAAACAACCAATCCTTTCTGATATGTCCCAGATGTTGAAATTAGCAGACAAAGCTTTACAGCAGCTAATTTAACCATGTTTGATAAAGCAAAGAAAGATATACTTACAACGAAAAAATTAGGAAATCTCAGCAGAGAAACAGAAAATATAAAAAACAGCTAAATGGAAATTACAGAGTTGAAAATAAATACCTGGAATTTCTAACCTTCACAGGATTAGCACAACAGCAGAATGGAAATGACAGAATAAAGTCAGTGAACTTGGAGATATATCCATGTAAATTATGTAACCTGAAAAATAAACAGAAAAATATGGAACAACAACAAAAACAGCAGAGCTTCAGGGGCCTTCAGGAAAATCTTAAAAGGTCTAAAATACATGTAATTGGAGTCTCAGAAGAGATGGAAAGAGATTGGAGCACTCCTGCCCCCCCAAAGTAGGGGGAGAAGACTTCCCAAATTTGATGAAAGATGTGAATTTACAGATTAAAGAAACTCAGTAAATCCCACACAGAATTTATATGACGATAACCACATGCAGACATATCATAGTCAAACTTATAAAACAAAAACAGAAAATCTTGAAAGCAGCTAGAGAAAATGAACAATGATTTAAATAACCACAGATTTCTCATCAGAAACTATGGAGGACAGGCACAATGGAACATCTTTAAAATGCTAATTTTTTAAGAAGTCAAACAGAATTCCATACCCAGCAAAAATGTTTTTTCATAAAAACATTTTCCACATGAAAAACAACAGAATTTGTTGCCAGAAGATATTCATTTCAAGAAATGCTAAAGGAAGTTCTTCAGGCTGAAGAGAAATGATACCAGGAGGAAAATGGATTTTCAGGGAGGAATGAAAATGCTGGGAATGGTAAACATCTGGGCAGAAACAAACTGGCCACTGCAGCCTTCAAGACAGCATGCAAACTCCTCAGCCTGAGATCCAGCGCCTCTCGCCCCCACCCCATGACACACACAGCTCCTGGCTTCTTTTCTTGCACGAAAAGCATCCATGAACTTTTAACAACGCCACAGTGACGCCTAACTCTGGACATGCTGTTCCTCTACCCAGAGCTCTTCCCCTCCTTCTTATCTGTATCTGTGAAAACAGTATGCCACTCGTGTTACAGCTCAAGTAACCTTGTCTTCCAGGCCACTCCTGACTGCACCAGACTCTGCTGTGCATTTCTGCATGCAGCTCTAGGGCCTAGAAGAATGAACTGAAACACACTGCTGAAACGCGTCAGTGATGTTAAAGCACCCTCCCCACCATTGTTTCATTTAGTTCTCACAAAAGCAGTGTGAGGCAAGGACAGAGGCTCTGGTGACCCACCTTGTACTGATGAGACACCAAGACTCAGAGAAGCTGAGTGGTTTTTAGAAAGCTGCACAGCCAGGGTTCGGCAAGACATTAGCACTTGGCTCCTCAGATCCTCATCCCAGTTCTCTACTTAGCCACACTGACATATAACATATGGCCCCTGCTTGCGAGCAACTTACAATCTTTTTGAATTGCAAACTTCTCATACAACTACAAAATGTTAAATATTAAGGCAATAACAATACACCTCTGCACTGGGGAGCTGGGACCTGGTCAAGCAGTAGAAAGACTTGCGAAAACTACAAAGCCCAGAGCCTGTGGAAGACTGACTGAGCCCAGGCCTCTCTGGAGCTGTGTCTGGGGCCTGTTTTTCTGCTAAAAGTGCCGCGGGCATCCAGCCACAACTTGGAACCTCTTCACTGCACAACTAACTGTCCAGTGACTGAAACTCCTCATTTCAGTGTGGACTATCTTTTAATCCAGACAGTGGGCCCTAGAAGAAGAGAGAAATGGGCGTGAACTGCAGAGCCACAAAGATAGGAAATCTGAGTAGGGCTTTGAAGGAAGAATGATTTGGGTTGGCAGAGAGAGAAGACGTATTTCAGGCCAATGGGGTGGGAAAGATGAGTCACGTTCAAAGACTTGAATATTTCTAAACAGAGGTATGGACTACAGGAATTGACTTAAAAGAATGAGAATCCAGCGGCCAATGTAGAGGATGAACAGGAAGGGCATGAGACAGGATGCGCGAGCCCCACCATAAACTCCAAGAGTGACTCTGTCTGTATCTCTTACCTTGGGTGGATTCTATGTTCTATGATCTTTCTCTGAATCCCAACCCACGAGCGAATCCCTGCCTCACAGTGCTTACCGTCCTCCACCACATGTTATTCCCCTAGGCTTCTAAGTTCCTTGAGGGGTATAATCTATCTTTCTATCCCCAAGGTTGGTGATTTTACACAATGGGTGATTTTTGCCCCTCAGAGAACATCTGGCACTGTCTGGAGATATTTTTGGTTGTCATAGCTAGGAGAGTGGGTATCACTGGCATCTGGGGTGATACTGATAAATATCCTACAATGCACAGTTATCACAAAGAATTACCCATCTCAAAATGTCAGTGGTCCCAGGGATGAGAAACTCTGCCATAGTAAAGTGATAAGCACACCTAATTTGCTTTATTAGTAAATTAATGTAATCAGTTATTATTTAGTACTAGTAATTCAACATTAACTTATTACCCAGTAAATCTTTGAAAAATAGCTTAACAACCAAAAGAATGAAAAAAGGATTTTTGTCTATCAGCTACCTTTAATGCTCAGGTTTCTTTATTTCACAGATAGTAAATTACAAAAACAAACACTGACGAGGACCAACATAATATTAACTTTTCTTACTGCCACATTAGACATTAAAAATAAAACTACATTTAAAATAAAACTATCAACTACTGTAACAGTTAATTCCTAAAATAAAGGACATTTTTAACTATAAAACATAATATTGTTAATAATAAAAATACAATAGGAAGAATATTACTAAGAAAGGTCAGTACAACAGTTTCTGCAGGCAACTGAAACTTCCACTTCAGCCAATCGTGGGCCCATCAACGTGGGAACCTCTGGATGAGATTACGAGCTCCTAGAGGCCAGGGCTCCCGTCACACGGGCAGCCTCCTGGCTCTCAGTGTCCTACCTCTGTGCCCACCCCTACCTTGTATTCCAGAGAGAGTAAAGTCTCTGTCTTGGAAGTCCAGCTCCACTTGTGGACTACGTAGCCCTTGTGGTCGTTGGTGATCCCACCTTCCTCGTCCAAGACCAAGACGTATGGGCAGCTAGGAGAGACACATAAATAAGGAGCTGTGTCCATGCCCTTGAAGGAAGCCCTCATCACTACAGGCTATCAGCAGGCAGGACGCTGGGACTCTGCCCTAGATGGAGGAACTGTGGACTCTTGCAAGTAGCCCCACTTCCCCTGCCTAAAATGGTCTGAGGTTCCTTCACATCTGTTGATGCTACTTGGGGGAGTCTGATAGGAAGCGCAGGTCTGAGGAAGATGGTGGAGACTCAGGCTAAACTCAAGGGAGACAAATGGAATGTGTGCCTGCACCCCAGGAGCTTGAGCATGTTAAGATCTCAGGCACTAAAATGGGAAATGGAACATATGTCTCATGAAAGTAAGTCATTCCTTCCAACACAGCTCCTTAAGAGTATCAGACAAAATCCACATTTGGCTGCCAAGAATATGTGCTACCCATGGCCTCTTCTTCACTGTTTCCTAGTATAAAACACTTCTCTTCCCTAAAGAATTCTTCCATGAACCGAGCTGCCAGTCAAGATCTCAGTGTCCTGGGGGAACAAGTGGAGAAGGACCTGGGGAGTTTCTCCTCTCGTTGGCCGGGACATGGGTCCGGCAGGTAAGGGCCTCGGGGCATCCGTGTCCGAGGCACCACTTGGGCCCCGCCACACTGTCTCCCTAGACCTCTGGATGTGGCCTGGCCCCTCCTTTTACCAGGGGCTCCTACTTTCTACCTCACTGCCCCACTTCATTACCCTGAGAGTCTTCCATGGGGCCAAGATTCCTCCCACCTACTCACCGGGCCTTTAAGTTGTAGTGGACACAGCCCTGGCCTTCAGCATTGAACAGGGCCAGGAAGGAGAAGCTGGGTGTGTCATTAAAGAGGCAGGTGATGGCTCTCCCTCTGCAGCATGTGGGGATCTGACACACGGCGATGTTTCCAGAGGGATAACTGGCAGAAATGGTTAAGCAGAAATAACAGAAACTCTCCAGGTTCTGCTTTCAGGTGCCTTATGGAAAGCACAACATCGTAAAGCAACTTTCCTCCAATTAAAATACAAATTAAAAAAAAATCCCAATATATGCATAACACGAGTCCCAAAGATTAAGTAGGGGACAGAAAGAATGTTTGAAGATATAACGGTTGAAAACTTTTCCGGGAAGATATGACTGTATATGTTCAAGAAACTCAACAAACTCCAAGTACAATAAATTCAAATAGAGCTACACTGAGACACATTATTATCAAATGGCATAAAGACAAAGACTCTTGAAAGCAGCAAAAGAAGAGACCTGTCATGTACAAAGGATCCTTAATATGATTGGCCAATTTCTCATCAGAAGACAAGGAGGCCAGAGGTACTGGGATGTAATATTTAAAGAGCTGAAAGAAAAAAAGCTATCAACCAAGACTTCTATATTGAGTAAAACTATTCTTCAAAATGAAGAAGAAATTAAAATTTTCCAGATAAACTAAAGCTGAGGGAGTTAACCACTAATACACCTGCCCAACAAAAAATGCTAAAAGGAGTTCTTAAGGCTGAAATGAAAAAACACTTATTGTTGTTTTTCAGTCACTAAGTCATGACTGACTTTTTGCACCTCCATGGACTGCAACACACCAGGCTCCTCTGTCCTCCACTATCTCCCAGAGTTTGCTCAAATTCATGTCCATTAAGTCAGTGATGCCATCTAACCATCTCATCTTCTGCCTCATCCTTCTTCTTTTGCCTTCAATCTTTGCCAGCATCAAGATTTTTTCCAGTGAATCGGCTCTTTGCATCAGGTGGCCAAAGTACTGGAGCTTCAGCATCAGTCCTTCCAATGCATATTCAGGACTGATGTCCTTTAGGGTTGACTGGTTTGATCTCCTGGCAGTACAAGGGACTCTCAAGAGTGTTCTCCAGCACCACAGTTTGAAAGCATCAGTTCTTCAGCAATCAGGCTTCTTTTATGGTCCAGCTCTCACATTCATCCATGACTGCTGGAAAAACCACAGCTTTGACTAGATGGAACTCTGTTGGCCAAGAGATGTCTCTGCTCTTTAATATGTTGTCTAGGTTGGTCATAGCTTTCCTCCCAAGGAGTGTCTTTTAATTTCATGGCTACAGTCACTGTCTGCAGCGATCCTGGAGCCCGGGAAAATAAAACCTGCCACTGCTTCCACTTTTCCCTCTTCTGTGTGCCATGAAGCGATGGGACCGGGCGCCATGATCTTAGTTTTCTGAGTGTTGAGTGTTAAGCCAGTTTTTCACTCTCCTCTTTCACCCTCATCAAGAGGCTCTTTACTTCCTCTTCACTTTCTGCCATTAGAGTGGTATCATCTGCATATCTGAGGTTACTGATATTTGACTCCAGCTTGTGACTCATCCAGCCTGGCATTTTCCATGGTGAGCTCCACATGTAAGTTAAATAGGCAGGGTGACGGTGTACAGCTTTGTCATGCCCCTTTCCCAGTTTGGAACCAGTTCATTGTCCCGTGTCCAGTTCTAACGGTGCTTCTTGACCCACACGCAGGTTTCTCAGAAGAGAGTTAAGGTGGTCTGATACTCCTATCTTTTCAAGAATTTTCCACAGTTTGCCATGATCGGCACAGTCAAGGCTTTAGTGTAGCCAGTGAAGAGATGTAGATGTTTTTCTGGAGTTCCCTTGCTTTCTCCATGATCCAATGAATGTTGGCAATTTGATCTCTGGTTCCTCTGCCTCTTTGAAATTCAGCTTGTACATCTGGAAGTTCCCAGCTCAGGTACTGTTGAAGCTGAGTTTGAAGGATTTGAGACATAACACTGCCAGGATGTGAAAACACACTTGACAGTAACTCAAAGACATACAAAGGAACAGAGAGCTCTAGTAAAGGTAACTACATAAATAAATACATTATTCAGCTTTATATTATTTATGGTTTACAATTATTCTTTCCCATATGATTTGAAAGAACAATCACATAAAATAATAATTGTAAATCTATGTTAACAGCACACAATGTACATATAAAGAGTTATTTTCTGTTAATAACAAGACAGAGGAGGAGGAATGGAGCTGTATAGGAGGGTCTTATATGCTATCAAGGGTATGTTGGTATTTACTCAAACTAATTTGTTGTCAATTGTAATTAATTTCTTGTGGCTACTGTAACTAAGTACCACAAATTGGATGACTTAAACAGCAGAAGTTTATTCTCTCGTGGTCTGGAGTCTAGAAATCTGAAATCGAGGCGCTGACAGGGCCATGTTCTCAGAGGCTCTGGGGAAAAACACTTCCTTGCCTCTTCCTATTTTTCTGGTGGTTACCAAGAATCTTCATGATTCCTCTGTTTACAGAGGCGTCAGTCTAACCTTTCTCTCGATCATCACATGATCTTTTTCTCTGTATGCTTCTTTTCTCTTCTTATGGGGACACCAGCAGACGAGGACTCACTCTAACCCAATGTGACTGCATCTTGATAATTATATCCCATTATACCAGGGAACCACTAAGGAAATAACTAGAAAATATGGAGAGAGGTAAATCAGAGAGCTATGATATAATTCAGCAATCCCACTCTTGGGTACATATATGGAGAAAAACATGGTTCGAATGAGCACCCCAGTGTTCACTGCAGCACTGAGTACAATAGCCAAGACATGGAAGCAACCTAAATGTCCACTGACAGATGCATGGATAAAGATGTGGTACACATATACAATGGAATATTACTTAGCTGTCAAAAAGAATGAAATAATGCCATTTGCAGCAACATAGATGGACCTGGAGATTATCATACTAAGTGAAATAAGTCAGAGAAAAACAAATATCATATGTACTGCTTATATGCAGAATTAAAAAAAACAGTACAAATGAACTTATTTACAAAACAGAAATATAGTCACAGACATAGAAAACAAGCTTGTGGTTACCAGGAGGGAAAGTGTGTGTGGGGAGATAAACTGGGAGACTGGGGTTGATATATACACATCACTATATAAAAAGCAGAAAACTAAGGACCTACTGGGTGGCACAGAGAATTGTTCTCAATACTCTGCCATGACTAATACGGGAAAAGAATCTTAAAAAGAGTGGATATAGTAAATCAACTATATATCAGTTTTTAAAAAGATGAAAAAAATGAAAAAGAGTGGAGATTCACTTCACTGTACAGCAGGAACTACTAACATTGTAAATCAATTATGTTCCAATAAATTTTTTAAAAATATTTATATTAAAGGAGAATGATATCAATTCAACAACTGAACCTTCCACTGTAATGAACTATTAAAAGAAGAGCAAAGTAAAACTAAAGCTAGCAGAAGAAGGAAATAATATAAGGAGAGAAAACAAAGACCAGAAAAAGACAATAGAGAGAACCAACAAAACCCCAAACTGTTTTTCTGAAAAGACCTATGAAGTTAACAAAACTCTAGCTAGACTGGGGCGGTAGGGGGCGGGAGGAATACTCAATCCAACAGCCGCACTTGTGTTTTGGCCATTTGGTCACAGTAACACAGACGTTGTCCTTCAAGATCACTGGGTCCCACATCGTCATTTTATAATGGAGAGGAGTAAGGCCCAGAGGGATGCAGTGGCTTGGGCAGGGTCACCAAGAACTGGGCCTAGAATCCAGGCCTCCTGGGACCCCCACAGAGAAACTACGTTAACGGCCAGGATGTGATGATCATTGGGGATTAGGTCAAGCACACCAGCGTCGATGGCTCAGGTCTCCAGCAAGAGACCTTCAGGATTCTGCAGCAGGGGAGTGAGTATGGATCCCAGCAGGCTGACCTGCGGTCCCCCAAACCCCTGATCTGTACTCGTTCACCCGCTCTGATGGCAGTTTAACTCACAGATACAGGCTTCATGAGCTCTGGGGAATGGCCCCATTAAATGCAGTGTGGAGTCAGAGAGGGGGAGCTCCGTGACCCCTGTGAGCAGCAGCTGCCTAGGAAGGAGCGTGCTGGGTTCAACATACAGGGTGCCCTGGAAGTGGGGCTGAGCAGAGGGTGATGAATGCACTCACTTATGGCCAGAGAAACAATAGGACTCCTGTGACAGGCACTGCAGTTCTGAATGCCCAGTTCAGTGGAGAGGAAGTCAAAGAAAACGAGGGGGCCATGGCCGGCAGGCCTGCTGAGCCGCCTGTTGAGACAGCCCGGAGAGCCACCCCTCGCCCAAAGTGGTGGGCCCTGCATGCTCAGTGGTTCTATCAGTAAAATGAGCTTTCCCTCTGGCTTCCAGAACCCCTGTCCTGCTCTCTGTGGGAGGGAATAATCCTGAAAGGCATAAAATGGTGCTAGGAAGAGGGCCCTCAATAGAGGTCAGGAGACCCTGGACCCAGGCCTGGCTCTGCCACCAATTTCCCCTGTGGCATTGGGTGAGTCACCCCTCTGGGTCTTGGCTTCCCTGTTGCTACAACGAAGGGACAAGAATGAAGAGATTGGTATCTCTTTGCATCTCGTCCAACTTAGGCTGCAGAGTCTGGAGTAAGCACTCTGCCCTCTCTGGCCTCGGAGCCTTGCTGACAAACAGGCTGTGCATCTGAGTCCAGTCCAGCTCTAGAGCATGTTGGGGAGAGGGTGACAGGGCCCCTGTAAGGAGCATAGGGTCCAAGGTGCCTTCCTGATACGCTGTTTCTCCCCCAGATTGTTCTCCAAAGGGAGCCCTCTCTTACCATCGACACCCAAATTCAAACTCCCTTCCCTCATTTCAGAAGGAAGCAATATTCAAGTTGCTCCCTCTAAGGTAAAGTGGCACCTTCATTCTATTCATCATCACATATGATACTCGATAAACATTTGTGAAAGAAAAAAGCAATCTGACTCCATTCACTCTAAAATATGCATAACTCAGTATTTACCCGCCAAAAAGGATTTGCATATTAGACATCTCAGTTTTCCTCAACCTAGCATTCTAAAATCCAGATATACAGACAGATTGTGGAGGTCTGCAGACCCCCTGCAATCACGGCGATGTTCTTCATGCATGTCTCAGTGTGTGTTTCTAGGAGAGGGTCTACACCTTTCACCAAATTCTCGAAGAGAAAATGTGTCCCCCTGTGTCACTCCCACGCCCCCAGGCTGGGACCCAGCCGCCCATGTGCTCATGAACGTAGACAGGCTTCAGCTGCAGAGCAACCTGGGCAGGCATAGGCCAGGTGGGGTTCTGGGGTGCGGGTTAGACTCCACAAATACATGGATCTTGAGGGCAAAGTATTCAAGAACCACAGGGCTCACCCAATGAGCCTGGAACCGAAAGACGAAGACTCTCCCACCTGGACTGAGGGTCTCCCTATCACCTTGTCTCAGCTAGAGGTGTTCTGTGTCTCTAACCTCTTCTTGCCTGGGAGAGCCTCGAAGGCAGAGACCACTGCTAAACCCCCAGCCCGGACTGACACGCGATCACACACAGCTGGCTTTGTTGCAGCCTGGTGACAGGGCCTGAACTGGAGGCTTGACTCTCAGGACTTCTTCCTCTGACCTGGACAAATTCTTAACACCCTGGAGCACCAGTCACCAGGCTTCTCTGATCAACTGAAAAGCCAAAGGAAACACCCCGGCTTTGTCAAACCCTGGAGTTCTTTGGGCTGAGCTGCTGGGGAGAAAGTACCGAACAAAAGGATGCTAAACGAAGGAGGACCCGTCGTAGAAGGAGTAGTGCAACTTGATGAACTTCCTGGGTCCCTTCCACTCCAGAGAATGCTGGCCAAAGTGGAGGTGGTGGGCGGAAGGCTGGTGAGGGGTGGACGCAGAAGTCTGAGCACCTGGAGGGTGAGGGTGGTGGGAGCTGTGGGTCTGAGCATCGCCTTTGGGGGTCGACAATAGATGAGGGGGCATCTTTGCCCTGTAGTTGCGTATGACGATGGGGTAGAAGATGTTCCTCCCTTTCCACGAGACCCTTTCGGCTTCTCTGCAGGGAAGGAGATCAACACGTCTTCTAGGCACTTGGCTCTCACTCACACTGTAGCCCCTCCCCAGCTCCTGAGACTGCCATCCCATCTCTGTCCCCAGAGGACCTTTTCCCACCCCAGCACCTCATCCTCACAGGTAATGCTTTTAGGAAGAACTGGGAAGGGCTGTACCCCTGTCAGACCAGTCCTGGCCTCTTGTCCACCTTTTGCACAGTGGTGGAGACCCATGGGGTGGGCCTGTGTGCAGAATGGGGTGGGAAGCTGGAGGCTTTGATCCCCTCCCAATCCTGAAGTTACAAACGAAGCCAGCTTCCTTCTGAAATGTCGCAGTCATGAGCAAACTGGGTGGCTGCCCTCTACCCAAGCTCTCCAGCTGCAGAGACAGTCGCCCGGAAGCTCCAGGACACATATACGCTTAGATGTGACTACAGTTGAAGTCTTTCATGGGCCTTGTTCCAGGGATCAAGGGAAACGCAGGTTCACTTGCTAGGACTCGTGACCCACAAAATCATAAATATCATTAATCACCCAGGTAGATATGTTTTGAGAGGTGTTTTTTTTTTTTCCAAAGAGAACATCCAACAAATTATGTTAAGAAATAAACATGCTTAACTATAAGAGTGTGTAAATTATAAGAAGCCATGCAAAGGGGTCTCACTGGTGAGGAGGCAAAAAGCATTGCCCTGGGTCAGGCTCACCGAGTGGGAGGACCTCAGACAACGCTTTACTGCCATGCACTTGGGGTAGTACCTCAGTTTCCTCATCTGCCCGAACGAGCATAAACCTACCTCTCCATAAGGTTATAGCAGGACGGTGAAGGACTAGGGATGTGCGGGGGAGGGACGACAATCACCCCTCCACTGGCGCTGGGGGCACTGGGTGGCCAACATGCCCAGGACCCCCCTTCCGCACACACAGGCCATGCCCTCCTTTCCCACCTGCCCCAACCACTAAGGCACTCACATAATGCGACACATCTCCTGCAGCTTCTCCCGGGCTTCAGGGCAAGGGTCGCTCAACTCGATAACCTCAGAGCTAGAGGTTCCCGCTCCTGCTCCTCGCTGCGGGGATGCCAAAGCATCGTCCGTATTTTTGGGTTTGCCTGTAACTGGAGACAAAGAGGTTAAGGACAGTTTGAGACAATGGTTTCTCAAGATGTCCTATTTACCTGGGGAGAGGGGCTGGGGACAGCAGGAGAGCTGCATCCTTTGAGAGTCAAAATAACTGGGAATCATTTATGCTTCCAGAGATAGGAACTCCTAGCAGGTCTTATGAAACAGGCGTCACTCTGTGAGTCAACCAACTGTGTGTCAGGAACATTCATGCAGGGTGGTGAATCCAGCGATGTTTCCCCAAGGGCAGCCTGGTTCTGGATAGGGAGAGGACACCCATGGCTGCCCTGGATACAGAAGGGATTCCTTATGATACTTCTGACTTAAGGCAAAAAGTCTCAATTCCAGCTCAAGGAACAAGCTTCAACACTTTTGTGATGCTGGCTTATCTCAGCCTTCAGCAGAGGGCAGAGTGTATCGACTGAGACTTGGAATGTGATGTTTTGGAGTTTTCTGCTTGTGTTGGTGGTAAAATACATGTAACAAAAACTGCCAACTTCATTTTTTTTCATTTATTTTTATTAGTTGGAGGCTAATTACTTTACAATATTGTAGTGGGTTTTGTCACACACTGACATGAATCAGCCATGGAGTTACATGTATTCCCCATCCCAAAAATATGGAACGCTTCACGAATTTGCGTGTCATCCTTGTGCAGGGGCCATGCTAATCTTCTCTGTATCGTTCCAATTTTTAGTATATGTGCTGCCGAAGTGAGCACGCCAACTTCATTTTTAAGAGGCCAGTTCAGAGATATCAAATACATTCAAGGTGTTGTGCAACTGTTATCACCATCTGTTCCCACAACTCTTCACATTTTGTAAAATTTAAACTGTAGCAGTAACTCCCTGCTCTCCCCTCAGCCCCTGGCAACTGCCAGTCTGACTTTGTATCTCTGTGATTCTGAGTACTCTAAGGACCTCGTGTAAGTGGAGTCATACAGTATTTGTCTTTTTTGTGACTGGAATATTTCATGTGGTATAATGTCCTCAAGGTTCACTGATGTAACAATGTTGCTTCCCTTGTAGCTCAGTCGGTGAAGAATCTGCCTGCAAGTGCAGGAGACCCGGGTTCCATCCCTCGGTGGGGAAGATCCCCTGGAGAAGGAAATGGCAACCCACTCCAGTATCCTTACCTGGAAAATCTCAAGGACAGAGGAGCGTGATGGGCTGCAGTCCATGGGGTCACAAAGAGTCAGGCACGACTGAGCGACTAACACTTACTTAGTCATTGAATAAATACTAAACTAAACAATACTGCAGGATTCCCTTCCTTTTTAAGGCTGAACAGTATTCCATAGGTACAGACAAAATTTTATTTTTTGACTGCACCATGTGGCATGTGGATCTTAGTTCCCCAACCAGGGATCAAACTCAAGCCCCCTGCCCTGGAGGCATGGCATCTTGACCACTGGATCTCCAGGGAAGACCCATGACCAACTATTCTTTATCCATCATTTACTGATGGACAGTTGAGTTCCACCCATGTTTTAGCTACTGTGGATAAAGCTGCTGTGAACACTTGTACAAACATCTCTTTGAGACGCTGCTTCTAATTCCTTTGGGTATATGCTGAGAATTGAAATCACTGGATTATATGGTAATTTCATGTTTAATTTTTGAGGAACTGCCATACTGCCTTCCACAGTAAACCTGGCTGTGCCATTTTACACTCCTACCCTCAGTGCACAAGGCTTCCAGTATCTCTGCATTTTCACCAGCACTTGTTTTCTGGGTTTTGACAGTAATCATCCTACTGGGGGTGAGGTAGTATCTCATTGTAGTTTTGATATCCATTCTCCCAATAGTTAGTGATGTTGAGCATCTTTTAATGTGTCTATGGGCCACCTATATCTTCTTTGGAGAAATGTCTTTTCAAGTCCTTTGCCCATTTTTGAACCAGGTTGTTTTTTCGTTCTTGAGTTTGAGAAACTCTCTCTATATTCTGGATATTACTTCCTCGTCAGACATGATTTGCAATTATTTTTTGCCATTCTGTGGACTCTCTTTTTACTTTGTCAATAGTGTCTTCTGATGCACAAAATTTTAAAAATTCATGAAATGCAATGTGTCTATGTTTCTCTTTCTTGGCCAATGCCTCTGGTGACATATCCAAAGGAATGAGTTATTGGATCATGGATTAGATTAAGGATTCACTGAATCATGAATCATTGTGAAATCCAATGTCATCATGTTTTTGTCTCATTTTCTTCTAAGCGTTTTATTGTTTTAGGTCTTACATTTAAGTCCTTGATCCATTTTGAGTTAATTTTTATATATGGTGTTAGGTAAGGGTCCAACTTCATTCTCTTGCATGTGGATAACCAGTTTTCCCATCACCATTTGTTGAAAAGCTTATCTTTTCCCCATTGAATGGTCTTGGAACCCTGTCAAAAATCATTTGCTCATATATGTAAAAATTTATTTCTGGGTTTTCTACTCCATTTCATCGGTTAATATGTCTGTCACGGTGACAATATCACACTATTTTGATGAGTTCAGCTTTGCAGTAAGTTTTGAAATTTTGTGAGTCCTCCAATCTTACTGTTCTTTTTAAAAATATTTATTTGCTTTTACTTATCTATGTGGCTGTATTGGGTCTTAGCTGTGGCCTGCAGGATCTTTGGTCTTTGTTGCAGCATGCACGATCTTCCAGTTGCAACATGTGGGATCCACTTCCCTGATGAGGGACTGAATTCAGGTCCCCGAATTGGGAGCACAGAGTCTTGGCCAATGGACCACTAGGGAAGTCCCCTAGGGAAGTCCCCTCTTTTCAAGATTTTTTCTGACTACCCAGTGGTCTCTTGAGATTTCTTATAACCTTTAGGATGAGTTTTTCTATTTCTTCAAGAAAACATCTTTAGCGGACATCCTCAGTGGCACAGTGGTTAAGAATCTGCGTGCCAATGCAGGGAACATGGGTTCCATCCCTGGCCAAGGAAGATTACGCGTGTCATGCATTGGCTAAGCCCACGGGTCACCACGACTGGGGGTGCATTCTGAAGCCCGTAAGCTGAAACTACTGAGCCTGCATGCCCTGGAGCCGGCGGCAGCGGAGAGGTCACTGCAGCGAGAAGTCAATGGGCCACCGCGAGAGGAGCCTCCACTCGCTGCAGCCAGAGAAAGTCTAGGGGGCAGTGACGGCCCCGCGCAGCCTAAATAAACAAATAGGTGAACTAGAAAACCTTTGGCATGTTGATAGTGATTGCATCGAGCCTTAGATTACTTGGGGAAGTACTGACATTTTAACAATGTCAAATCTTCCAATTCATGAACATGGAATGTGTTTCCATTTATGTCTTCTTTCATTTCTTTAACCAACGTTTTATAGTTTTCGTTGCACAAGTTTTTCACCTCTTCTGTTAATTCCTAAGTGTCTGACTCTTCTTGTTACTACTGTAAATGGGACTGTTTTCATAATTTCCTTTTCAATTGTTTACTGTTCGTGTATAGAAATAAAGCCAACTTTTGTGTTGACTTTGGAGCCTGCTACTTTGCTAAATTCATTTTAGTTCTAATAGCTTCTTTTGTGTAGAATATTTAGGGTTTTCTCCATATAAGAAAAGCTATGCAGACGAATGGATGAGGAAGCTGTGGTACATATACACCATGGAATATTACTCAGCCATTAAAAAGAATTCATTTGAATCAGTTCTAATGAGATGGATGAAACTGGAGCCCATTATACAGAGCGAAGTAAGCCAGAAAGATAAAGACCATTACAGTATACTAACACATATATATGGAATTTAGAAAGATGGTAACGATAACCCTATGTGCAAAACAGAAAAAGAGACTCCAATGTATAGAACAGACTTGTGGACTCTGGGAGAAGGCGAGGGTGGGATGTTTCAAGAGAACAGCATCGAAACACATATATTATCTAGGGTGAAACAGATCACCAGCCCAGGTTGGGTGCATGAGACAAGTGCTCGGGCCTGATGCACTGGGAAGACCCAGAGGGATTGGGTGGAGAGGGAGGTGGGAGGGGGGACCGGGATGGGGAATACATGTAAATCCATGGCTAATTCATTTCAATGTATGACAAAAACCACTACAATGATGTAAAGTAATTAGCCTCCAACTAATAAAAATAAATGAAAAAAAAAAGAAAGAAAAGCTATGACAAACCTAGACAGCGTATTTTTTAAAAGATATTACTTTGCTGGGCAAAGGTCCATCTAGTCAAAGCTATGGTTTTTCCAGGCATCATGTACAGATGTGAGAGTTGGACCATAAAGAAGGCTGAGCACAGAACAACTGATGCTTCTGAACTGTGGTGTTGGAGAAGACTCTTGAGATCCCCTTGGACTGCAAGAAGATCAAACCAGTCAATCCTAAAGGAAATCAATCCTGAATATTCATTGGAAGGACTGATACTGATGCTGAAATTCCAATACTTTGACCACCTGATGTGACGAGCTGACTCATTGGAAAAGAACCTGATGCTGGGAAAGATAGAAAGCAGGAGGATAAGAGGATTACAGAGGATGAGATGGTTGGATGGCATCATGGACTCAATGGAGATGAGTTTGAGCAAGCTCCGGGAGATGGTGAAGGACAGGGAAACATGGTGCGCTGCAGTCCGTGGGGTTGCAAAGAGCCAGAGACAACTGAGTGACTGAACAACAACCATATAAGATCATATCATCTGGAAACAGGTAATTTTAACTCTTTATTTTCAGTTTGAATGCCTTTTACTTATTTTTCTTGTAATATGTTGAATAGAGGTGAGAGCAGACATCCTTGCTTCATTTCTGAGCATAGTGGAAAAGCTTTCATCCTTTACCACTGAATACGATGTTCACTGTGCAGTTTTCATATACGACTTGTATTAAGTGGAAGTAGTTTCCTGCTATTCCTAGTTTGTTGAGTGCTTTTTTTTTTTATCATAAGAGGAAGTTAAGTTTTGTCAAATGCTTTTTCTGCATCAATTGAGAAGATCATGTGGATTTTTTCCCCTTCATCCTGTTAATGTGATATATTACAAT